ACTGGAGTTACAGGCATCAGTGAACCACCTAACATGGGTGCTGGGAATGGAACTTGGGTCCTCAGCAAGAACAGTATGCCCTCTTAACCACTGGGAGTCTCTCACCCTGCCCCCAACTTCTTGATTCTTTATTACAAAGTCCAAGAAACTTGGTTGGGTATTTCTTTTGCATTTTTAATCTTTACCTTTATAATTGGTATTTGGTGGAGCCAAGGAAATAGATGATTCTGGATTCAGATCATTTTATCAGTGTTATCCATTGGATAGGCTGTCATTGACCCCACATGTTATTAACTATTTATAATATGACAAGTATCAACTTACAGTTGCTCATTCTAAATTCAATAGTCCTATTTCATAGCCTTACATGCTTGGTCACTTAAACAACGGACATTTACTGAACACTACTGTACTGATTGCTAGAGGCACCAGGAATCAGAGACACCAAGAACACAGTTTTAAATGAATTCACACTCTAAGAAGGTAGGTAGATGAAATAAGACTCATATTCATGTAGGGGGAACCCAACATAGGTGCCATACGTGCATAACTATGGGAAGTGTGGAAACCTCTGTTCCTTCTTCAGTACTGAGAAAGGTTTTAGAGGTTGTGGTTTTAATATTTAGTTTGAAGAAATGAGGGCAATCTCTGTGGTAATGAGATCAAAGGGTATTCCAGACAGTGTGTGACTTTTGAGTTTATGAGTCTCCTGGGACTTGAGAACAGGACTCATGATGGAAGCGGTGGGAGGTGAGATGGAAAGCCAAGGATGTAACCAGATGGGAGAAGATTTAGGTTATTCTTGTGTATCCCCAGCATCCTCAAAAGTATGGCAGAAACATTTGAATATTCAGAAGCTAAGACAAACTGGCAGCCTGGATCATGTGTTAGAGCAAGAAGACATGGGAGACAGAGAAGCCATAGAAATTAGAGGTTGGATTCAGATGACTGGCAGATAATGAAGCTGTCGGTGTAGAAAATAGTAGACAGTGTTTTTCTTGTTGATAAGAAATGATTCACTTAGATAATTCCCTGTATATCTTGTGCACACTTAAAACTAGCACAACTGGAAATGTCTATGTAAACATCACAAGTCAAGTGAAATACTAAATGACAGTCTTACAAATTGTCCTCTGGAGCTAGGAGGCGTTAATGGGAGGATTAAGTGTGAATGTGATCACAATACTTTGTATGAGATTGTCAACAAATTAATAAAAATGTTTTAAGTACAGTTTTTGAAAGAGACTTGGAGAATGTAACAGACACATTTGACATTAACTCCACAGTGAATGAGCAAAAAAGAGGCAAGTTTTATAGCTCTGTCCTAGGAAATTAATGGATAGCGTGGCGCTGATTATAAAGTTAGCTAGAGAAAGAAAAACATATTCAGAAGATGATATAAGAGGAAAAGAAAATGGATTTCATTTTGAAACATAGGGTTTCTCTGTGTAGTTTGGTACCTGTCCGGGATCTCACTCTGTAGACCAGGCTGGCCTCAAACTCACAGAGATCTGCCTGGCTCTGCTTCTCAAGTGCTGGGATTAAAGGCGTTTGCCACCGCTGCCTGGCTTGATAGTTTTTTAACCACCGTGTTATATGAACAAAATTGGTTCAGTGGTATTTAATAAAAAGTTGTTTACATTTATTATATGGAATTTTTAGTTGTTTATTTTATGCTAACATGAAAATAATGGCATTTAAAATTTTCATTCCTCTCCTTTGGAATTCAACAACACACCACAATGAGAATATATAAAAGAGACATTCTTCAGTGAACAATGAAATGGCTGCAACCCCAACTCTAAGTTATGAAACGCACTTGCCAAACACCATAAAAATCTGCACTAAAGTAAGAAGGAACATTTAGTGATGACAAATATTTCCTTGAGCACCAAGAGGGATCCAGATTTCCACAGGAGTAAGCTCGGACAACCTCAAAGGCCTGTTCAGAGTTCTTTGATTAGAGAGATGTTGGGTGGAGGACCAGGTGCTGTCCCTGAGAACAGCAGACACTGTCCTTGCAGAACTGTGGGTGAGCAGGAGCTGGAGGAGAAACCACATTTATTTGCCTCCTCATGGAGAAAGGATGCCAAAGGTGAAGTGGGGTAAAGGGAGAAATGGAGGCAGCAATAATTGGATTGTTACAATGCACCACATAGTTTAAAACTTCCTTCCCTGGTCCCAGCAATTATTCAGATGCTGTCAATTGGAACAGAGGTGTGGGTAAAGGAAACAACTGATCTGATGATAGGGTCTTGAAGAGAAGCCTTGTGAAATGTGTCAGCTCGTCATCCTCGCAGTTTGTTCTGTTCACCAGCAGAGGGATGCCTTCAGAGCACAGGCGTGGGATTTGTGCCTCCAAGCTACCATGAGAATTTGAAGTAGAAAGACGCAGGGTGCAGGGAAAGCATCTAAAGCAGGCCACACAAGCAACTGATCAAGGTACTCCCTAGAGAAAGCGGCAAGCAGGTTCTGTGTTCCCAAAGAAGCGGGGAAAAGGCTGAAACGTGAGGTCTGACATTTTTATGGTGATTAGAAGAGAAGAGAAGGAGGCAGAAAAACAACAGGAGCTGTTAAGATGAGACAAGGACAAAAATAAAGCCCGTTTTGAATTGTTGTTGGCTTATTTTGCATTAAAAATTTTTATACAATGTATTTTGGACATATTATTTCCCCCGCTACTCTTCCCAGATCTTACTCACCTCCCTACCCACCTAACTTCATGTTCTTTCTCTCTCAACCCTCCCCAAGTTCAAAACAAACTTCAAAATAACAAATTAAAAAACAAAAAGTCCACAAAACCCCAAGGAGTTCATTTTGTGTATGCTATCTGATACATATATGAAATCAATTCAAATGGAATCACCATATAATGCTGACTAGACATGTTATGTCACCACATAAAACCTTCATGCCAAAAGGGTCTCATAGACCTACTCCTCAAGCATCACAGGCTGTTGCCAAGGCTATTAGTTATTCCCCATAACCTGATGATAAGCCCTACTGCTGAAGACATAACTGACTGTCATCGAACATGAAGAGATTGAGCTGGTACCCAGCTGGAAGTTTACCCCTCCCGACTAGCATTCGTGGTGTTGGAAGATGCCTTGCATACTTCTGAAGAAGAAAAGCAATCATCGATATCACCCAACCACAAACCCTGTGCGTTACAACAGAGACGTGCCAGCAAGTTATATTGGCGTAACAGCAGAACAAACCTTACGAGAGTAACCAACCACTCTTCTTTGGATTTAAGGCCCACTCTATGAGATGAAGCCTATACTTGACATGGCTAAGGTGGCCAAGAACTTGGGACTAGGTAGGTCATGGGCTTTAGGGAGAAACCTACTACTATTATTCTTTTTTATTTTCTGTCTTTTTTTTTTTTTGAGGCAGGCTTTCTCTGTTTAGCCCTGGCTTTCCTGGAACTCACTTTGTAGACCAGGCTGGCCTCAAACTCATAGAGATCCACTTGCCTCTGCCTCCCAAGTGCTGGGATTAAGGGTATGCACCAGCACTGCCTGACTACAACTATTATTCAGCTATTATTATTATTCTGCTAAAGGAACATAGCAACAAAATGATGTATTGTTATAACCATAGGTCATTGCCTCACTCAACCCTTATCAGAGAAGCTTCTTCTTGCAGTAGATGGGAACAAATGCAGAGACCCATACATGCACAATGTGCAGGGAATGAGAGACTTTAGAGGACTCAGCTCTAAAAGGGATGTCTATATTTTTAAATTTTATGTATATATAAATCATTTTATATGCATTAATAATAAGTATATGCAATAAAAATTGTACAAAACATAATGAAGTTCAAAAAATAAATAAAAACCAAACAGAACCAAAGGTTGCTTCACAAGCAATAACAATAAAATAAGTTATTGTGATTAGAGAGGTGATACACAGGCTGGAATAGATGGTGTGAAATGATTTGGAAAAGAGTCACCAAGTAAGATGTATGTTGCTCTTTAGGAGCACTGATAGGTATGGGAGGCAGGCAAGCATAATGCCTCAACAGTGTTTGTTGAGAAGAACAAAACTAAAGGAACAGTAACATATTGAGATAAAATGGAACCATTGACTTCCTTTTAAAAAAAAGTTTATGAGCAAACCATGGACTATCATGTGCTAACTAAATACAATGTGGAGGACAGCTGCCCAGGTGCTAGCTTAGCTGAAGAGCCCATAGGTCTAAGAGCAGAAAAGATTAGTAGAGCAATAGCAAAAGTCCCTACTGGGTCCCACATTTGACCCTGAGCATTCAACACAAGAGGACAACAGAGCAGGATTTGAGGGACAGAAGGTTGACAGAATATGCTCTGCATAGTGGACAGGCAACAGGAATAGGTCAGAGAACCATCTAATATGCCTTTGTGATGAACCCAGAGGACCAAAAAGATCATTCATTCACCTTCATTTTTTTTAAAAGAAGACCATTATACCAGTGCTTTTCTTCCATTTTTTTAAAAAAAAAATTAATTAATAAATAAGGAAAAAAGGGTCCGCCTGCAAAGGTTGCCTTCAAAACAAAAAAAGGCAACAAAACCTAATAAAAAAGGGTGGGAACCAACAAAAGGGGGCCGGGAAATGAAACCAAGGCCCCCGGAAAAACAACCAAGGGTCCTAAACCCCAGACACATCTCCACACCCACACCCACATTTTTTTAAAAAAGAAAAGTAAATGGTAAATTCTTTAAATATAAAATTAAAACAAGTCAACTAGCCATTGATAGTGCAGAACAGACTGTAAAGACTAGAAGTCTTGACGTCATCTCAATAACGTAATGGAAGCTAACTGGGAATTGGAAAGGCGTGGTAGAGGAATGGAAGGGGCCTTATTTTCTTGCCTTGCTTAGCAAAAGGCCCTAGATAGTCTCTTAAGTCAAATACACCATTAAAATAATGATCCAAGTTTCATGTTTCTTTAATCTTCTGTAATAACTTCAGAGTATTCCTTCTGAAATTAATTATGGTTTTTAAAAAAACCCAAACCATCAACAGATCCTGTAATCTTATTCAGTTTTTTCCTAGTACACTTAATAAATTCCATTAAAGTTTTAAATTAAAACTGCATTACCTTAGATGATTATTAATGTTATTTTGTATATAGCAGTTTGGGTCATTCTTTAATGGAGTTTTTCTGTATTAGTCAGCTTTGCATCAGTACAGCAATGCACCAAGCAATTAATTCATGAAGGGGAAAGATTTCAGTAGCTCACAAATTGAGGAACTTCAAAGGCACTGTGGCTTGCATGGTTCATCCCTGGGGAGTGTGACAGACAGCAATAGTAAGAGTAAGTGGCCACATCTCAATTCAGGAGCCAGGGAGGACAGGTGGGAAGAGGCTGACAATCTCTTCTAAGGACATACTCCCAGTGACCTAAGAGCCTCCTTCTAGATCCCACCCCTTAAAGGTACGGCTCTTCCCATTAGCACCTCTGTAAGAACCATGTCTATCTGTACATATAGATCTTGGGAGACATTCAAATTACACTCAACCATACATGTTTTCTATTTTATTTTGTTCATTGATACATTAAATATGAAGTGTGTGTGTGTGTGTGTGTGTGTGTGTGTGTGTGTGATTGTCTGTCTGTCTGTTTGTCTATCTGTCTGTGTGGGGGACTGTTCAAGGCAGGTAAGCATGCCTATCTCCTCAAATGTATATCACATCAGAGGTATACCATTTCTTTCTGGCAAAAACAAAAAAAAATCCTAGTTTTGTTAAATATGCAGTCCATTAATGATACTTATAATCAGCCTACTGGACCATAACATACCAGAACTTCCTGCTCCTACCTCACTGTAACTTAGCACCTATTTATCAACTCTTCCCCATTCCACCTGCCCCCTGCCCTGACTCTTCAGGCTACAGAATTCTTGTATTGGTATTTGTCATTCTGTGTTGGCTCATTTTGCTTAACGTAATGACCTCCAGTTTCACCCATGTTGTCACGGGTGACAGGATTCCATTTTTCGGGTCTGAATAAGTATTGATATAAATCACAGTCTCTTTATCCACTTATCGGTGATGGATTTTTATGCTTTCATCTTTCAGCTGCTATAAACTACACAAGGAAGCAGGTTCCTTTTCAGCATCCTGATTTCATGTCCTTAGGATAAATAACCAGTGGTGGGGTGGCCAGAACACATGGTAGTTCTAGTTTAATTTTTTTGAGGACTTCCCTACTGTTTCCTATAATGGTGGTATTAATTTATGTTCTTATATACCAATGGTATGGCAGGGTCTCTTTTTTAAAAATAGTTCTATGAAGTTCATAGTTCTAATAGTTCATTGGCATTTTGAAGGGGATGGCTTTAGTTATGTGATTGCTTGGGGTAATAAGTACGTTTTACAACATCCATTCTCCTAATCTCTGATCATGGGGTCTCTTTCCAGTTTTTGTGTATCCATCTCAATTATTTCCATCAATGTTTTATAGTTTTCATCGTGAAGATCTTTTACCTTTTGCTTAAATATATTGCTAACTACTTAATTTCTGTAGCTGTTATGGACAGGACTGCACAATAGTAATTTCATATATCTGTTTGACATTCTCCACTTATCATTGTTTTACTGTAGAAACATACAGTATAACCACATTAGAGGGCTGAGGAGATGGCTCAGTCACTACAGTATGTGCCATGCAAGCATGAAGACCTGAGTCAGCTCTCCAGCACCCACATAAAAAAAAAAAAAAAAAAAACAAAAAAAAAAACACGAAGATGTGGTGGTACACATTTGTAATCCTACATGGCAGGGTTGGGGAGGTAAAGACAGTTGGATCCCCAGGCTTGCTGACCAATCTGTCTAGTCAGTTGGTGAGTCCTGGGCTCAGTGAGAGACAGTGTCTCAAAAATAAGGTAGAGGAGAACACTTGTCCTCGGACCTTTACAAGCACATGCACACACACCCACATTCACGTGTGCACATAAGCACACACACACACACACACACAGATACACATACAAAAAATAAATCAGGTATCACTTCTAATGTCAAAAAATGAAATCATAAATTCTACAACAATAAATGACTGTCAGTTATTTGCTAATCTCAGAAAGAAGGGACTGAAGAAAGGAAGAAAATTAGGAAAGGAGGGATTAGTGAAAAAGGAGGAGGAGGAGGAGGAGGAAGAGAGGGAAAGGAGAGGAAAGGCGAGAGAAGTTGAGATGAGAAGCTCTCTATGTACTGAAAATCAGCCTTGGAGACTGCTCCCTTGGCGGGCTGTCCTACGCATGCTCCGTCCGTGCGTTGTCCTGCGCATGCTCCATTTGACGTGCACTACTACTCTGTTTGCAGTGCTCTGTCACCTGTGGTGTTGGATTCCAGAGGAGAAAGCAGGTGTGTCAAAGGCTGACTGCCAAAGGCCGGCGAGTCCCCCTCGGTGAGATGCTGTGCAGGGGCCTTCCGGGACTCCCCCTCGTGAGACCTTGCCAGATGCCTGTGTGCAGCAGTAAGTGAGCAGCCGCCGCCATGCTTACATCTTCCTTTCCCATTGCATCCCTCAGCCCGGCTCAGCTCTGGGGGTGAAGCAACCCAAGCAAAACTCCAGCCTGTTTTCAGCGGTGAATGTTAGAACTGGGGAGACCTAGGAAGAATTTTACGGAAAGTCCATTTTAAGGGATGTCTGCTCATGAGCGTACCTTGTTGGGACTAAGCTGAAGTGCTTCTTGGCTTAGTTTGCCGGAAGTGTATCTGTACTCACATTATTAAAAGGAGAAGAGCTGGGTATGTGATAAAACGTACTTTAATGTTCGTTTTTATTCTGTAGGAGTCAAAATCAGTTGGCATAAAAACACGCTCGCTTAAGTCGATGGCAGATTGGATATCTCGCCAATTTGTTATAAATCACGAAGCTTGCTATGATGTCAGCAGCATGCTTTCAGTCTATTCAGAGGCAGTCTGCATGAGGCATACTCGTGTGTGTGTGAGGATGCGTGTCTACACATTCGTGTGTATGTAGCACACGAGAGGAGCACAGCCAGTGAGATCAGGACTGTCGCGGCAGCAGCTGCAAACAGGCAGCAGAAAGGTGTAAAGACGGGAGTGGGGACCCTGAGATAACAGCTTTGGGGCCCGTCTCTGCTTTGCTTTTTATTGTCTTCATTAACGTGTAAAACAGCGTGCATTGTGGCCTGTAGTGAGACAAAGCAGGGATGAGCTATGATCATTTTGCTGTTGCTGTGTATGTGTGTGTGTCCTTGGTTTATTGACGGTATTTCCTGGAGAAATTCACAAAACAGAGCAATCCAAGGGTCAAGTTCAGTGGAAAAGTCGTGGTGTTTGTTGATCACCTCCCACCACGGAAAGCACCTTGCGTGTCTGTCTCATGTAGCCTCCCCAGCAAAGCTGAGAGTCAGACAGCGTCCTCATGTAGAGACAAGGCATGCAAGAGTGAGGCAAGACCCGAGTTTTACCCAAGACTCCAGGACTGCCAATTGGACCCTTCGGCCTCTTTGACCACAAGTCTGTCTGACTCTGGAGCCCACGCTCTTAGTTGCTGCTCTCTGCTGATTCATGGACACTAACATTTTTTTTTTTTCTGGGAAGACTTTGAGAACATATTTTCAAAATCTTGACATTCTAAAAGCCCGAGACTCTAAGTTTTAAAGCCTCTTGGAAATCAGGAATGTCTGCGGTGAATGGCACAGCGTGGTGTTTGTTTTAGTCACTGGCCTACCTGATTTCTATCAGTGCGACAAGGCTGTAAAGTGCCTTGGAGGAAAATGAAATTAATGTCAGCAGCAGCAGCCACATTGAAAATAGACAGAATGCTATGTGGGGCTATGTCGTGATCATTGGGACACGTGATGTACAGGATGGGATTATAAATCATTCTGGCATTCAGGGGCGAGAAGAATTTCTGCAAGCATTGGGGAGGAAAACATAACAAGAAAAACAAGGCATTTTTCTTTACCCCACTGTATTCCCTAGCATACTGGCCATGTAGGCCATAGAAGCGACAGGAAACATATAAAAATAATAGCCAGTCACCTGAGCTGACCTCCAGTTCTGCCACTGTCTGGTCTCAGGTCATCACCCCTGATTGATGTTGCTTGCTTGGCCATGCTGTGATTAGCTCTCTCTGAACACTCAAGCACTACATCTGAGGGCCAGGTGATGAGCGGGACACTCTCGCATCCTCCAACGTGTGTCTGTTGCTGGGTTCTCCCCTCATGTGTTTGTCATTTCAGCCATTCTCCTTAGACATTACAAGGTTCACTATGGGGATCTTCAAGATACTTTCTATTTTACTATAGAATGCACCAGCAGGTCCTGTCTTCCTTTCCCACAGTTGCCAATACACAGGACAACCAAGTTCCTTATTGATGACCTTTCTGATGCATAATATCCCCATCCCCAACCTCCCCAATTCTTCCATGCCATCACCATGGCTGGGCGACACCCAGGCTTTCAGCTGTTATGCCCTATTTGCTTAATGTTTCACTGAGCTTCCACATACCCTGTTATTTCCTAACCTTCTGCTCTTGTACTAGAACTCAGGCTACCTAGCTGGCTTTTCTGGTCATCCACTTAACCACCCCTGTTGCCAGATGTATGCCTTTCTTTAAACCTACTGCCAGAGTCCCTGCTTATCTTTCATCTTAGTGTTGCTTTCAAGCGATTTTCTTGTCTGCTTTTTGTTTCCTGGCTTGAGTTACTGGGATTTCTAAGAATAAATAATGTGGCCCTGCCAGTGAGACAGGCATATTTATGCTGTCTAAAATAAGCTGGGCGATAGTGTGGGCTACCTCGGTTTACTAAGAAATCACTACAAGTTCTTCAGAGTAGCTGTTTTCCCATGACCATGCTGCCACATCATTGTGAATGATCTCATCGTTTACCCATTGGTAGCAGCAAGGCTGCATTAGCACAATGTACTTTTGACTTTCCTCTCTCCTTCACCTCAAATCCACCCTGCTCCTTCCCCAAACTGGAAAATATACGGTCGCACATAAGCCTAACCTCTCCATAATTGAAGTCTATAGACAAAAGAAGCCAAGCCTGACTGTGCTGTGACCTCTCATCAGACACCATTTTAGAATATCTGCACTGAACAGTGTCCTGGGTTTAGGTAAAATGCATGTTCTTGGAGAGGTTTGCTTTTTCTTGCTCTTAATCTTGGCTATTTTGGGGAGCATTGAAGTTGGAGGCTGGTAGGAAGGATGTCTTGTGCCACCCTAAAGGCCAGCAGTACTCCATATAGTCTAATTGCACTCCAGCTGTTCAGGGGCAAACATTCCCTGCAAGGCACCTCCTCAGACTTGGCCCTTTGAAAGTTCAGATTTTCACTCTGTCGTACCTGTCAGCTGATGTTCTTTTCACTTTAGGACAAGCCACGCCCTTGACTAGCATTTCTGAGTTTGCAGTTTGTGCCTAGCCCTGTTTGTAAACTTTTAGGCAGTCATTCGTGAACCTTTTGAGGCAGCTTCAGCCACTAGTCCTTTAAGAAGGAGACGACTGTCATAGTTTGCCTGTGTCACATGGTGAGACACTGGCAGGGCCCAGCCTCTGAACTCAAGTGAGTTCCTCACACCCAATGTCAGTCACCTTTCAGACAGAAACACAACTGAGCAGATCTTATTACGGAAAGAAGTGTATAGGTAAGAATTTGAAGGTGATGGATTTATCAGTAGGGGTCATTGGTGGCCTTTTCCTGGGAATATTAGTGTGGTGATAGGAACAGAAGCCAGGCTGGAGTTGGTTAATAGTAAAACAGAAGCAAGTAAGTGGGAGCTCTTCTTTCAGGTTGATTTGGGCCATACCATGGTTATGGGGTCCCAAGGGCATCTTAACTCATTTAGCAAGTCCCACCCATAGCATTCCTGTGGCCTCTGGTCAGTAGCCCTCAAAGAAGCCTAAAGTACATCCAGAAACTAACTCTTCAAATTCTTGACATAGATTCAGATGAGCTTGTCTTGCTGGATTGCCATGCCTAATGGAAGGAGAGGGAACCAGTACCAGCCAAATGGCCAGACTGAGGTCCAGAGTCTAAGAGGGTTCCAGCAGGGAAATAGGAAGGCTTTAAGGATTGGGGCATGGCCAAAGCCCATTAAGGAGTGGCAAGAGGAACCTAGTGTAAATTGCAGCCAGGATGTCATGGGGCAGAAATCGGGCCTGCTTCCCAGGCTTAGAGCAATGGCAGGAATACAAATAGAGAAGAAAGGGCAGGTGTGGAAGTACTGAAGCATGTGCTGTACATGTCCTGGCACCTGGAGTTGGCCTTTATGTCAGGCTGGCTCAAAGACCCAGAAGGAAGACATATAGAAGAAAGGGTTTCAATGTTTATAAAAGCCAAAGATGTGGTACCTCATACTCTGAGATAGTGGGAGAGGTAGAAGCCCAGAAGCCCATCCAAAAAGATGCCATCCATCCCTGACCATGCTGTAGGGTAGATGATGATGCTCTGGTCTCATCGGGCTTGGCCAGTCTTACAGTGTTGGAATAGTTCCAGATGTGAGAGAGACAGAAAGCCCAAACCAGTCTTTTTCCCCCAAGAGCTGGCCCAATGATAGCGCACTCTAGGGGTCTGCTCTGAAGGGACTTATAGGAGAGCCAAATGGGAAATGGGCTAAAGGAATGGAGCCTAGCAGCCTTCTGAGTCTCGGGAGTGTCTGACTGCAGGATAATCTCAACCTACCCCCTGGCTCTCTGCTGTCTGAACTGCTCTGTACCCTCAGTGTGAGCAACTGCCAAGGCAGGGCTGGGAAGGGGACGAGTGGGACCATGGGGTTTGTCTCCCATGAATGGGTATGTAGCCAGAGGGGCATCCAGCTTTCATGCTTCATTGGTCAAGTACCAGGTGCTCTACCCAAAGCTGAGCCCTGCCTGCCACCTGAAGGCTTCATGGCCTGCCTTGGACGGAATCAGGAGCTATCAACTCTAAGCTTGGATGAGAGACATCTTGAAGGCTACTGGTAGGCACGTGTCCATATTGGGTCATTGGACCCCAGGAATCAAACTGCTCTGTGGACCTCACACCATTCTTGTATTGTCCCCAGCCTGAGTTATTCAACTAGAAAATTCCCTGTATAGAGTTCTGGGCCACACTAGTCAAAATGCACTCTTTAGTAGAGGACTCTACTGTCCTGAAAGAATCTTTCTCTGCACTTTACACCATTCCATGAATCCCAGTGTTGGACTTGGCATTGTCCTTAAAGACTGAGTTTCAAAGCTATCCATTGCCCATGCATCCTGAGAAACCTGGTTACACACAGGTGTGACTTAATAAGCAAAGTACTATGATACCTGATGCTAAGATCAGATCAAAGTGCTCCTGCCACCATCTTAGGAAAGGACATGTATGTGGCAGAGACGTGGGCAGGATGCTCACAGACAACACAACTGCTCTTGCTTATTTCCCTTCCCTCCTCACTAGTAGCAGCTCATCACTGTCACTCAGTAGAAGAAACTGGGCCAAGAGTGCCTCCCACATCTCTCCGGAATACATGAGTTCTCAGTAAAGGCAAGAGAAAAAGCTGGTGCCTTCGGGGGCAGGATCGTAGGTATATAACCTTTTGCCCCAACCTGCCAACTAGAGCCAATGGGAACAAATAAAGCCCATCCCCAACTCCGGTTCCCTCTCACTCTGTCCCATTGCTTCTGGGCTGCCTTTGCCATCCGGCAGCTGGTTGGAGGCATCAGACATGAGAGCCCAAGTGTGCCTGCTGCTGAAAGTACATGTGATCTAAGCAAATGGACTTAACTCTCACACTCGTCTGTTGAATGAAATTCCTACCATCATTCTCATTTTGCAGGCAAGATAGAGACTCAGGGAAACTTACGGGCACATTCTACAGGCAAAGCGGGGATTCAAACTCAGAGATGTCTGGCTTTAAAGCACCTATTCTATTATACCTTTCTATTTTTTCTCTTGCATATTTTTTCTTTATTAAGAAATTTTCTACTTACTCCTCATGTTATCCACAGACCCCCCTCCTTCCTCCTCCTTCCACCCCCCAGCCCTCTTTCCCAAACCACCTCGCATCCCCACATCCCCCAAATTGAGGTCTCCCATGGGGAGTCAGCAGAGCCCAGCACACTGAGTCTAGGCAGGTCCAAGCTCCTTCCCACTGCACCAAAGCTGTGCAAGGTGTCACACCACAGGCACTGGATCCCCAGAAGCCTGCCCATGCACCAGGGACAGATCCCAATCACCCTGCCTGGGTGCCCCCCCAAACAGTTCAAGCCAAACAACTGTCTTCTGTGTCCAGAGGGGCTAGTCCAGTCCCATGGGGGCTCCACAGCCACCAGTCCACAGTTCATGGGTTTCCACTAGTGTGGTCTGTCATCTCTGCACATCCTCCCATCATGATCTCAACATCCCTCGCCTACAGTATCTCTCCTCTCTCTCATCAGTTGGATTCCTGGAACTCTTTATCTGCCTCCATCTGTCACTGGACAAAGGCTCTATGATGACAGCTAGGTTATTTGCTAGGCCGGTCACCAGAGTAGACCGGTCCAGGTACCCTCTGGACCACTGCCAGGAGATCAAGGTGGGGTCAACCCTGTGGATTCCTGAGAGCCTATGAATCTACGATTCCTGAGAGTTCTATTTTGAACATGCTCCTCTACGTCCTCAGATCCCCCTCATGGTTTAGATGACGTATTTGGGCTAGATTCTGAACTTTGTCCACCCCCCTCCTTTTCAGACCTTCTGAATGTATTCACTCACCTTCTCTCACTTCTTCCCGCAGATTTAGTATAGCTGTGGTCCAAGCCAAACTAACTCACCGAGGGCCACCCTGACGGTGGGTGGGTGGGTGGCCAGCATGCTGCAGAAGCTTCCTGCTGATGGAGACTTGTCCCCAGACACTGGGGACTGGTCAAGCCATCATCCCATTGTGGCAAAGAACAAACATCTCTCAACTACAGACAAAACTTTCCCTCTGTTTCACTAAGTCATTTAACCCCATGCCTGCCAAACCAGGGCTTCATAAAATAACTTACATATTTTATCTCCAAGCAACATGTTCAAACTTGCATGCATCCTTGCTTAAACACTAGACAGCTGTGAAATTTACTCCAAGTATGGATGTAAGATATTTTTCTTGTTTTAATTCACAATTCCTAAAGAACTTTTTTTAAAAAGTTGTATTAGTAGGCCTAGATCAATCAACCTCAGAAATTTGCTGTCAATCACCTTTGTGAGTGGTTTCTCTCAGTTTCTTTCCTTTACTTTTTTTTTCCCCCTGCAGAAGTGAAACTCGGGACGAAGACACGGCTTGGAGAGCGGGGCCCCCAGATTCTCGGAGTCCGGAGAGTCTATATTCAGACAAGGGAGGAGAAACGGATCAACCTGACCGTGGGCAGTAGAGCCTACTTGCTGCTCAATACATCTGTGATCATCAAATGTCCAGTAAGACGCTTCCAGAAATCGCTGATCCAGTGGGAGAAGGATGGCCACTGTCTGCAGAACTCCAAACAGCTTGGCATCACCAAGTCGGGCTCCCTGAAAATCCACAGCCTTGCAGCCCCGGACATCGGTGTGTACAGGTGCATCGCAGGCACTGCCCAGGAGACGGTTGTTCTCAAGCTCATTGGGACCGACAACAGGCTCATTGCACACCCATCCCCCAGAGAGCACGTGCGGGGCCACTCGGGGGTGGACCACAATGAAGCCAACAGTTTGGGAGCCACGTGGCACAAAATGCGTCAGATGTGGAATAACAAAAACGAGCTTTACCTGCGCGACGGGGCAATCAGCAACCAACCCCTCTTGAGAGCTCTGTTGGGGCCGTGCAGGACGTCTGCGGGAAACACTAACTCCTGGGAGTTCAAGAGCAAGCAGTTCGAGGCAGCCATGAAACAGGGGGCCTACAGCATGGACACGGCCCAGTTTGATGAGCTGATACGAAACATGAGCCAGCTTATGGAGACAGGAGAAGCCAGCGATGACCTGGCGTCCCAGATGATATATCAGCTGGTAGCCGAGCTGGCCAAGGCTCAGCCGATGCCTGTCCCGTGGAGGGCCATCCACGAGGAGGTTGCTCCTGAGGCTCAGCTCGGAGGGGAGACAGGAAGAGTTCCCCAAAGCCCCACCGTAAAAAACCCAGGCAAGCTGACTTTGAAGCCAAAAGGACAGGTTCTCATGAGGCACACCCTACCCCCTGCAGTTTCATTTAACAAAACAATAAACGCAAGGATTGGGAATACAGTGTACATTACAAAAAGCACGGAGCTCATCAATATACTTTGCGGTCTTGTTACTCCCAGCAGCGAGGCCACGTATACATGGACCAGGGATGGAGCCTTGCTGCAGCCCTCTGGGAAGTGAGTCAACCAAGAACACAGCGTCTCCTTGATAGTACCTTACTGTGGCCTCTTCTAGTTTGCTTGGAAAGATTTTCAGATTTCTTCTCCTAAAAACTGTGCTTTCTCCCATTCTCCTTCTTCTGCCTAAACAGTTTTACTTCTTTCGTGTGTGTGTGTGTGTGTGTGTGTGTGTGTGTGTGTGTGAGAGAGAGAGGGGGGGGGAGAGACTTTATGTATCTATACACAATCTAGGAACAACAAATGGGAAATGAAAAACCAGGAATATTTGCCTTTCTGAGACTAGCTTAATTAGTATTAATTAGTATTGTGATAAAGAGTGATAAAGACCCATTAAGGAAAAACTCTTGGTCAACAGACTAGAATCATTGGCCTCAGTAGAGAACTAACATTTCAAGTTTGGCGAGTCAATCACCGAACAAGGGACTATCTATCCCTCAAGGCAGACTCACCTTAAGCCACACTGAAGGGATCGGTGGACTAATTGACTGCTTAAGTGAGGTGCTTTACTTTTCCTTGCCAGAATTCCTGCCCTCTGGGATAGTGTCCACACACCATCGTGGTTGCAGTGAGGTTCTGGGTCTGACTCAGGAAGATGGGACTTCTTTTTCTTTTCCTTCCTTACCCTGTCTCTTTCGGGTGCTAGCGAGAACCTAAACCTACGCATATTTCTTTGGTTTTTCCCTTATAGTCGGGACTTCCTTGCTCTTTCTCTAAAGCCCCCAACTCTGCCACGTGACTCCACAGTGACCATGAATCTGACATCTGTGTCTGTTTAACTCAGGTGGCATGGTGTTTTCCTTCCCTCTGCTGTTCTCCTCTTCCAGGGAGCTGCTGAGATGTACAGCTTGTCTGCCATTGATTTTTTTTTAACTCTAATAAAATTAAAATAGAAGCCAATATGTCCACATCCCAGTCTGTTGTAAGTGTTCTCTGATCTAATGCAAGAGGAAAGACTTCCCCACTCTTCCATATATGTACTTTCTTCCTTGAAGCAGGGGGCTGGACATGATTATCTTTCGGGCTCCATGCCAGACCAAAGCCTATAAATTTGCAGTCTCCATTCTCCATAACCTGTGATGACCCTACAGCAATTATGTATGTTCCTTGAGTTATATTCTCATTTAACTCATATTAACTCTTTTACAGGATCATTTTGGAGGAACCTGGGAAGATACAGATAAAATATCCTACAAAGAAAGAGCAAGGGATATATGAATGTTCCATAGCTGATCGTCTCGGTTCAGATGTGGAAAGTTCATTGGTGTTATATGCAGGTAATACCTGTGGGAGAAGCCTAGAGTGTCTGGGGTCTTGTAGTGGCTTTGTGTATCACCCGAAACCCTAGCACTCTAAAGCCTGAGTTTGTATCCCAAGGGCACAGGGCTTGTGCAAGCACTGGTTGCTGAATGCTGCCTAGAGCATTGCCTTAGTGGGTTTGGAATGCATTTGACGCTTGCTCTTTTGAACACGTTCCTAGTTTACACCAACTCTCTGGAAACAATGGCTCTAAGGCTTACTTTCCACAAATCGGGAATTAATGAGATGGAGGTTCATTGGTAGTGTTGACATTATTGACTTTTTTAAGTTCCATCAGCTGAGGAGTGAGAACCACTAGTCTTCAAAGTTGGTACTTTTTTCTCGGTGACATACCTGCCACTCCTTAGCCAGCACTCCCCCACACACACACCAGGGATTGTAATTTTACTTCAGCATACATCTTCATAGGCACTGGACATGGTCATTTTGTAACAAAATATTTTTTACAATAGAAGATCATTGTTAATTGCTTACAATGTAGGCAGTAATTCCTTGGGGCAAGATTATATTCTAGGACTAGACATAAACAAGAGAGCCATCCCCCAGCTCACTATTCCCTTTTCTTCTCATTGTGACTCAAATGGACCAAGGGAGAATAGAGACGACATCGTGGGTTAGAACCCAGTTTGGTCACCTAGATGCTAAGCCTAATGGCAGATGCTTGTCATCCACAAGCTGAGAAAGTTGAACCTGTTGGTGTTAAAAGTTTCTTGGGTCTGGATGACTTGAAGATGACTGCCTTCCCAAGGCTGAGCCATCAGGCCAGTGATTCTCAACCTTCCTAATGCTGCAACCCTTTAATACAGCCCCTCATGTTGTGCTGACCCCCAACCATAAAGTTATTTTCATTGCTACTTCATAACTGTAATTTTGCTACTGTTATGAATCATAATGTAAATACCTATGTTTTCTGATGGTCTTAGGCAACCTCTGTGAAAGGGTCATTTGACCCCCAAGGGGTTGTGACCTATAGGTTAAGAACTCCTATTTCAGGCCTTTGTTTTCTCCTGGACTGTTGTGCCTGCAATCATTAGCTCCTTTCAAGCAAGCACGAATGGAGGTAGTTTCTGTAGTGAAGAGGAGACACCTCCTCTGCCAGTGCCCCCAAGTCTGTTCTAAGTGCATCCCCAGATAACCTAGGTTTCTGATAGAGCTAATGTGACGTTCCCATAAGCCAGAGGATGAGCTGTGACAACCACAGATCCCTTCCACCCAAAGGCTTCCCATCATTCCCCGCCCCTCAGGATAGCTTTCTATGCCCCAGGCATTCCAAGAAAGAATGGAACTTTCTGTAGCCTGGGCTTCTTGAGAACAATACTGCATGTGTTCTTATTTTATATTTTTATTGCATACTTCACACAAATTATGCACATAGGTGGATAAAGCAAGTGTCCTGACTAAGTTAATGAATAAATCCATTAATTATCACATTTCAAGGAGTGAAAGTCCTTGAATGAATTCCTGACTCTGTGGGTTTGTCTTTATTATTTCTTCAATACAAGTTTTATGTGGCTATTTGTTTCACATTAATTAAAATGCCAAGTTCTGACTTCTCCTCCAAACAGTGTTAATCCACTTGAGATAGTTTAATATGATTTTATAAATGAAGAATTTCTGCAGAGTAGAGAGGTGTGAGAAGTGTCTTAAGGATGCACTCCAGCAGCCAATAGCCTTTCAAGAGTGATAGTTTTACTATTTTAAGGGACATGAATTTATTTAGATGGTATGAGAAGGGGAGTCTCCGAGCCACACACTGTGGGGTGAATGACTATGAGATCACTCAGTACTTTTACCGGGATTCCTACTATAATCCAGAAGGAAAACACTTTGTACATGTTCATGGTTAGAAGGAAGTTAACAAGAGTTGTGAGCTCCTGTCTATCTGGTCTTTCCCAGTACAGCTTTAATGAACCCCAACCCTACATTTTTTCTGTGATTGGCAAGTCAGTCTGTCTCTGGACCTAAAAGAAAACTGTATATGGGTTTTGTTTTTTTTTTTTTTTTTTAGGAACTATATTGTTGTTTAAATGTCTGATTGCATCACCTTGTGCACAGGCAGGCTTTGTGATTATTGATTAAAGAGTAGCTCTGGTCTTGTTGCTGCTGAGCAGAGAGCACATTGGGATGCTTTGTACATGTTAGCTGAGCCTTGGCTTACTCTTACCTCAGTGGGAGAGGCCTTGGAGAGCCTTCTCCATCCAGGATAACACCTTCCAAGGACACCAGGATAGCTCAGGGTCCACTGCCCTACCCCACACCCCTCTTTTCATAAAGATGGTCACAACCCCTGGAGTTTTAGGCCCACATCAACTCATCTGAGGCTGCATGTGAGAGATGCTATTTTGCCCTGCCATGCGGTTTTGCAGCTTGAGTCTTTCTTTGTGAAACGATCAAGAAAGAGCCTTAATTTTGGTTATGAAGATAAAATATCTTCACTTTATACATTGTTACAATCCACCCATCACCCACCCACACTTCCATCTCCCACCCACCCATGCATCCATGCATCCTCCCATCCATCTCCCCATCCATCCATCCATCCATCCATCCATCCATCCATCCATCCATCCATTCTCCTATCCACGCATCCATCCATCATCTCTGCACTGAGTACCTCTAGCTGTGTGTGTGTGCTTGTCTGTGGGCACCACAGGGGTTAAAGAGACCAGCACTCTTCCCTGCTTTCAGCAAATCAACGATGCTTGTCAATGAACAAGAGCTTAAACCTAACATAGTTTCTGCTCCCTTTGAATTAAGAGGCACCTGTCATCTTGTCTATTGAAAGAAATGTCACCAAACCAGAACACTGCCATCTGTCTGTTGTGGTGGGAGGCACTGTGGAGGCAGCCCTTCAGGCAAATGTGACAATCCACTGTCCTGTAAAAGGTAAGTATTATCATTTCCAGTATGAAGGTATTTGGCCAACAATAGATGGAAGTGACAGCTAGCATTTTAGTGTTCCATACATCATCCTGATGAACTCACATTCTGGTTTCTAGTACTCTCCCATCTGTCTAATTCTCAAAGTGAGCTCATGCCATATGGTAAGACTAATGCCAGGACTGGGGAGATTGCTCAGCCAGTAAAGTCTTGGCTCTGCAAACACAAGGACCTAAGTTCAGATCTAAAACATGCACATAAAAATAAAAAAGAAGGCCGGAAAGTGGTGGCGCATGCCTTTAATTCCAGCACTCAGGAGGCAGAGCCAGGTGGATCTCTGTGAGTTCAAGGCCAACCTGGGCTGCACGAAAAGCTACACAGACAAACCCTGTCTCAAAAAACAATAAATAAATAAATAAATAAATAAATAAATAAATAAATAAATAAATAAATAAATAAAAAAGAAAGAAAGAAAGCTGGGCACAGTAGCATGGGCCTGTAACCCCAGCTCTGTTGGGTAGGATGCAAAGACAGATAGATTCCTAGAGTTTGCTAGTCTTGCTAGTCAGTGAGAGAACCTGTCTCAAAAGATAAGGTGAAGAGTGAGTAAAGAAAGCACCCAGTGTTGACCTCTGACTTGGTCATACATAAGAACTTGCAAGCACATGTACAAACACACTAAGTCACTAGCAGGTTCTTCTCTCTCTGTCTCTGTCTCTGTCTGTCTCTCTCTGTCACACACACACACACACACACACACACACACACACACACAAGGTGGGAGTAGAGCAAGAGAGAGGTTTAAGACAGATTGCCGCTTTGTCTCCACTGTGGGCTGTGACTGACACACACACACTGGAATGTTTATCCTGGGAAAGCCAGAGCACTGTGTGTGGGCAGATCTATAATAAAGAGAAACTTTCAGTTAGGAGGTTGTGTGGTGACTGTGGAGTCTGAGAAAAGGGACTTTTGGAAGTTGTTAGATATGTCTTCCTGCTATGCGTGGCCTTGGCAAAGCCAGGTCTAAGACTGGGAATGCCAGTGTCTTCTATTCAGACATAGTCCTGAGCCATCCGTGAGTGGGCCTCAGCAGCCTGTGTGGCATTAGCTTTTCCTGCTGTGTTTGCTAATGCAGGCTCAACTCTGTTGTTCGAATCTTAGATGGTCTTTTAATAAAAACACCCAGAGCTAGGTATCAGGGTGAAAACTGAAAGATCAGAGAAGCAGAGCAGCCAGCCACTAGTTCTTACCTCTATGAAATCCTCAGGCTAAAGAGGGTGAGTTCCTGCTTCCTCGCCCCTTGTATACTTTTCTCTGCCCAGACATCACTTCCTGGGATTAAAGGCATGTGTGCTTCCCAGTACTGGGAATAAAGGTGTGTGCCACCACTGCCTGGCTCTGTTTCCAGTGTGGCCTTGAACTCACAGAGATCCAGACTGATCTCTGCCTCCTGAGTGATAGGATTAAGGGTGTGTGCCACCACTGCCTGACTTCTGTGTCTAATCTAGTGGCTGGCTCTGTCCTTTGATCCTCAGGCACACTTATTAGAGTACACAATATATCACCACGCCACTCCTTTATAAAAGACTCTTTATTTGCAGTGCTCAGGATGGGCCCTCAGGTCTTGCTCATGTAAGGCAAGTATTCCCCCACCATGTTCCGCCCACATCCCTCCAGACCCATTTTTTTCATTAATAGAAGTAAAACTTTCAGCCTGACTCTGCCTGAACTAGGGCTATTTTGCCACTCGAGGCCAGGCATTCTTAAGTCTTAACCTGGACTCTAGAGTCCCCAGAATATAGACAGACAATATATTCTGCACACTTCTACATTTTACAGGTGTAAAGGGGTGGGCTGTTGTGAGACTAGCTGTAGAGAGACATACCAAATTGAGTCTACTAAATTCAAAAGGAATTTTCTATATGCCCTCAATTTACTGTGCATTGACTTAGTTACCTGAACAGCTATATCCCCCAATTTCTAAGGATTAACAATCACTCTTGTATTTGTAGTCATGTTTGATGTTCTCTGATGGTGAACCATCTCATGATGTGTGACTTTGACTCTTTCACTGAGTTGTCTTAGTTAGGGTTTCTATTGCTATAAAGAGAAACCATGACCATGACAACTCTTTCACTAATTTTTGTTGTTGTTAAAATTTAACTTTTAAGCCATGGTGGTCCGATAAAATACAGGAAGTTATTCCAGGTTTTTGTTTGTTTGGTTGGTTTTGGTTTTTTTGTATCTGTTGAGATTTGCTTTGTGACTGAGTATGTGGTTGATTTTAGAGGTTCAATGGGATGCTGAGAAGAAGGTCTATTCTTTTGTTTTAGGGTGGAAAGTTCTGTAAATATTTATTAAGTCCATTTGAGTCATAATATCTGTTAGATCCCTTATTTCTCTGTTAGGTTTCTGACTGGCAGATCTGTCTATTGGTGAGAGTGGGGTGTTGAAGTCTCCCACTACTAGTGTGTGGAGTTTGATTGTGATTTAAGCTTTAGTGATGTTTCTTTTACATATGTGGGTGCCCTTATATTTGGTTCATAAATGTTCAGAATTGAGACTTCATCTTGTGTATTTTTCCTGTGATAAATATTTAATGTTCTTCCTGATCTCTTTTGATTAATTTTAGTTTGAAGTCTATTTTGCTAGATACTAGGATAGCTACATCAGCTCTCTTAAGTCCATTTGATTGGAAAGTCTTTTCCCAGCCTTTTCCTCTGAGATAGTATCTGTCTTTGAAGTTTAGGTGTGTTTCTTGTATGCAGCAGAAGGATGGATCCTGTTTTCATATCCATTCTGTTACCTGTGTCTTTTTATAGGTGAATTGAGTTCATTGATATTAAGGGATATTAATGACCAGTGATTGTTGATTTCTCTTATCTCTTGGTGGTAGTATGTGTGTATTTCCCTTCTTTGGGATTTGCTGCTGTGGGGTTATCTACTATCTGTGATTTTGTGGGTACATCTAACTTCCTTAGGTTGGAGTTTTCCTTCTAGTGCTTTCTGTAGAGCTGGATTTGTGGATAGGTATTGTTTAAATCTGGCTTTGTGTTGGAATGTCTTGTTCACTTCGTCTATGGTGATTGAAAGTTTTGCTGGGTATAGTAGTCTGGGCTGGCATCCATGGTCTCTTAGAGTCTGTGTCTGGATTATGTCTGTGCAGGGCCTTCTGGCTTTCAGAGTCTCCATTGAGAAGTCAGGTATTATTCTGAGGGACATGCCTTTATAAGTCACTTGGCCTTGTTCCTTTGCTGTTCTTAATAGTCTTTCTTTATTCTGTATGTTTAGTGGTTTAATTATTATGTGGCAAGGGAGTCTTGCATTTTGAGAGAGTCTAGTCTATTTGGTGTTCTATAAGCTTCTTGTATCTTCATAGGGAAAGTTTTCTTCTATGATTTTGTTGAATATATTTCTGTGCCTTTGGTATTCTTCTCCTTCTATCCCTATAATTCTTAGGTTTGGCCTTTTCATGGTGTCCCAGATGTCCTGGATATTTTGTGTTATGACTTTTTTGGCTTTGGTGTTTCCTTTGACTGATGAATCTATTTCCTCTATTGTGTCCTCCATGCTGGAAATTCTCTCCTCCATCTCTTGCATTCTGTTGGTTATGCTTGCATCTGTAGTTGCTGTTTGTTTAATCAGATTTTCCATGTTCAGCATCCCCTCGGTTTGTGACTTCTTCACTGTTTCTATTTCAATTTTCAGGTCTTGCACTGTTTCCTTCACCTGTTTAGTTGCCTTTTTCTTGTTTTTTTTTTTCTTTCTTTTATTTCTGGCTTTCTTTAAGGATTTATTGATTTCTTCCAATTTTTGTTTGTTTTTTCCTCAATTTCTTTAAGTGAATTTTTCATTTCCTCTTTAAAGGCCTCTATCATCTTCATGAAGTTATTTTTAAGGATGCTTTCTTCTGCTTCTTCTACATTGTGATGTTCAGGTCTTGCTGTTGTAGAACCTCTATGTTCTGGTGGTGCCATATTGCTCTTTATGTTGTTGTATGTATGTATGCACTGGAGTCTACCCATCTCTTCCTCCAGTAGGTGTAAGAGGTGTCTGTGTCTGCGTGAGCTGCTCGGTCCAATCTGTGCTTGCTGTATCTGTGTCTTGGGGGGCCATTCAAGCTCCAATCGTAGTAGCTCTTGGTCTAATTGGAGCCGGCAGATTCTGTGTCTCAGGGAGCTGCTGAGGTCACAGGGGGATGGGTGGATTTGAGGTAGGGTGTGGGTCTTGTAGATTGCAGGGCTGGTGGGGGGTGTTGGTGGGGAAGCCTGCCTGAAGGAGTCTTTCTTGCTGGTCCTCAACTGGGGCAGTGATGGGTGGGGGTTCCCGGGCACGGGTTGTGCCTCAGGACTGGGTCCTAGAGTGACCATGGCAACTCTTATAAAGAAAAACATTTAACTGGCTTACTGTTTCAGTAGTTTAGTTCATTATCATCATGGTGGGAAGCCTGGCGGTGAGCAGGCAGACAAGGTGCTGGAGAAAGAGCTGGGAGTTGTACATCTTGGTCCGAAGGCAGCAGAAGGAGACTGTGTGCCACACTGGCCAGACTTGAGCTTGTAAGACCTCAAAGCCTTATAAGACACATGTCCTGCAACAATGCCACACCCACTCCAACAAGGCCACACCTACTAATTGTGTCAATCCCTGTGGACCAAGCATTCAAACACATGAGTCTATGGGGGCCATAACAATTCAAACCACCACAGCAGTTATGGGAAAGTATTTATTCATCCTGTATAAGACACCAGTCACAGACCAAAAAAAAAAAAAGAAGATTCTATTCAAATGTAGAGTTTAAACCAATGAGTTTATTGGGGATGAGTTATAGGAGCATGGAAGACTCAAGCAGTTACATCACCAAAAAGTCCATCCCTGCATGGCTGACCAGTCACCAAAGCAACAGCCCTGGCGCTCTCTGCACAATGTGTAGGCAGCTCTATCAAAGAGTCTCCTGTAGACTAGCAGCTGCTTCCTGCTTATGTGACCTTGAGGAGGAGACTTTGCTTCTTTTAACCTTCAGAACTTTCCAGAGTCTTTTAACGGGTAACTGCCTAGGGTGTATGAGCCGCCCCACTCGTCTCTGTCAGAGGTCATGAATTCAGGAGAAGCAGTTAGATCGAGATGCAGTGTGGCAGCAGGGGCCTCTGAGGCTGCCCGGTAGCACCTAAGGATGGGTGTCATGAGAGGACCGGGGTCACACTCGCCCAGCTTCCTTCTCTTCCTTCCCCCTGATTCTCTCCTGCTTGCCCTACTTCTTTCTAAAGGCACACCTTTGGCTCCATGCACGCTGGAAATTTGCTACCCTCCAAGGTATTAGTTTTCAAACCCTGGCAGTCCTCGCAGTGTTTGGCCTGGGAAGACTTTTGACAGATTGCCCAGCCTCCCAACTGGCTCCACCCACAAATATGTGAATTTTCTGGCAAAATGGACCTACCATTGCAGAACAGGCCAGCATTCTCTCGCCAGGGCAAGGAGAAAAGCAGAACAGAACTGTTCAGACGCCAAGCCACAGACTTCTCCAATTTCTATAGCCCTCCACCTGCAGAGGATTCTGAAAAATAGATGTGACTTCTATTAAGAGAAACTCAACTTTTAATGTTTCGTTTTAAAATTTAGCTTCCTGATCATTTAAAATCAAACTGTGGGGTGGGGGTGGGGGTGGGGGTGGCATCCAAAGGTTTGTGGCCCATCATTTGCTGTCCTGAGGCAGGGACTAGAGGCAGTGGAAACTTGTTTTCACAAAGTCTCCAGAGAAGACCATTAAACTCAGCCCAGGTCTGGTCTCTTATCCACTCAGGGGAAATATGAACTGTCTGATCCCTTCCCGACCTGCGGGCCCTTCTGCCCTGTGCTATATTATACTGCTGGGGGCAGGCCTTCCTCCTCCTCCTCTTCCTTTTCCTCCTTTGCTTCCTCCCCCCTTCTTTCTCTCCAGTGAAGCTCAGAGTTGGGAGTATTCACCTTTCCCTACCATTCATCTTTTCTAGAAGTAGTCCCTTTGGTCTTCAGTGCCTGGCCGCCCTCCACTATGATCTCAAACCCCAGAAACCCATCAGAGGTTCTTTCCCTTCCAAAGTGAATCGGCCACTGGAGGTGCCATCATGTTGAGTGAGTTATGTGCCATTTTAAACAGACGTGCAGTGAACTTAGTGTTTCCTTGTGGGCAGAAGCTATAGCCAGCCTAGCTTTCTACAGAGAGCCATCTTTTTAAAGACAGATGATAATGCTGATAAAAGTCAGAAATTGTGGATTGACAGTTCTGTGAGTAGCCAGAATACAACCATGGATGAGTCATGTGTCTGTCTTGCCCTCATCTCCAAACAGAAAATAGAATCTAGCAGTAGAAGGGACTTGGTCATCATTTAATTCAGTCTTTTGTTTTATAGATGAATATATAGCATGATTTACAAAATCACATTCTTCCAGAACTTTGAAATTCAGTAGGACATATCATTTTAAAAAAAAGGTGCTCTTGAACTGTTTCCTGCTAGTTGTTTTTCGGAATCCTAAAGCACATACCTAGAGCTTCTAGACAAATTTATAACTCTTTGTTGTAGGCAACATGTTTTATACTACTTGTGGTATAGATATCAATAGCGTTTATCTCCAGCCACCCTTCGAGATTTTTCTATTAATTCTATTAAATGATAGAACTAGAAAAAAAAAACCACAGCACTTCTGAAGGTTAAACATTCTATCCTGAAAAGGTTGTTTGTCTTGCTTGCCATTAAGAGATACTTCCTTGTAAAATGTGGTGTATTAGGGAGTGGGCTTCACCCCCCCCTCCCCCCCCCCACGTACCTTCTGTTAAGGAGAGGGAACAAAAAGCAGTGAATAGCATTGTTGTCTAATTATTCTTTTCACAGGAGCACGTTCCATAAGCACTGTTGACCATATAATTGTCTATTACATTTTCTTGCAGGGGAGAGGGGGCGCTGCATGCCCTGGCACACATGTAGAGGTCAGAGGACAAGTTCAGGAGTCAGCTCTCTCAATCCACCACATGGGCCTCAGCCTTGGGGGCAAGCATCTTTGTCAACAGAGACATCTCACCAGCCCACTGTATATCCTGTAATTTTCTGCTCTGTGTGCTTTCTCTTGTTCCCACCATTCCTTACGCTCGCCAGACACAACTGAAGCAAGCCCCTGGTGTGGAGGTGTCACTGTGTGTCAGCTCCTCTTTTGTTTCTAAGTTCTCCGGGTCCACAGACAGAAATGGGCTTGAGCTAGGAAAATGATGGTCCCAGAGTGGATGGACCTGTCAAAGCTCTATGGCCCAGCCACCAAAGGAAGAACGCCTCTTAAGCAGGAGATACACTTGACACCTGTTCCTCGGAGCCAAGTGAAACCTAAAGGGTTGGCTGGGCTTTGAAATTCAAACTACACTGAAGAATGTAAACGGCATAGAACACTAGTCAGGGTGTATAGACAGCATGTACATCTGCTTCAGAAGAAGAATTCTGCAGCAGGGCGTGACATCTGGCCTCACCAGGAAGCTCTCCAGGTAGGGTAGAGGGGACTCTAACAAAAGTCATAAGGGCAAATGTAGAAAAGTTTTAAGTGACTCCTAAACTAAACCTAGCCCTGTGTGTTGTTAAGGAGAATTTTCACCAAGAATGTAAAGATTTTTACAATGCTTGCAAATAGTTCATTTATTAGGGTTGGATTTGTTTGGTTTTGTTAAAGGCAACGTGTCAGGTTGCCCAGGCAGGCTTTGAACTCATGATGTAGTCCAAGAAGACCTTGAACTCTTGATATTACTGCTTCTTCCTGTAGAGAACTGGGATTACTGGCACGTGCCACCACGCCTGGCTTGCAAGGATCTGCTTTAGGTCAAGCCAAGGCAGAGTTTGATATTCGGGGCCTCTACTGGTTGTCAATGTATGCGAGAGGGAAATGAGCAAGGGACTGGAGAGAAAGGGAGACAGGTGCAATCCCGTGAAGCTTCGTGGGCCCAGGAGAGTTGAAAGGTAGCGTTAACTCACCAAGTGGCTGTGCTGGGTCCCACAGTGGCCAGGGCTTCATTCACTTGCCTCCCTCAGTTACAAAGACTTAGGATAAAGCCGGAGGACTGAAAGCAGTGTGGTGCTGATGGGGGAGGGAGGCAGATTCCACAGCAGATTCAAGCATATAGGAAAACCCAGAAGCCAGTAGTGACAGAAGGAGAAGTCAAAAGGCAAATGGCTGAGGAAATGGTGATATGAAAATTGGTTATAAATATAAAAAAGCACTGCCCAGAATGATTCTTATTAAATGTCTACAATATGAAGAAATTAATTTTTCAATTAAAATATAAAAGATACATTTGATATCTGTGAATAATGAAAATACTAGAAGTACAAATCAAAATAAAATGCCTATTACATGGTAATAATTAGAGAGCTCTATGAATGTACTTTAGCTTCGGCATTATATAGTTTTAAAGGTTGAATTTCATAATATATAAATAATATTTCAATTAGTTTTGCTGTTAACATTTCAAAATATTTTCAACAAGTTTTAAAAAGCTACATTTCTGGAGGAAAGTACTTGTCACACAGTATCCATGGTATATAAATGATTGCTACGAATCAACTTAAGTACCAAATAACAGTAAGCCAGCCATAGGACCAACAGTTGTTGGAACTGAAGCCCTGAGCGTCGAAGGGTTTGCAGTGTTTCCAATCTCACTGGTAATGAGATTCAGATAGTGATGATGCCCCTCTCTGACCTGTTACATTGGACAACTTCAAGAGTTTCACACTACTAAGTTGGCAAGAATATAGAAAAATAGAGTGGCAGAATATTATGTTGGAAAAACTAATTTAGAGCAACTAGATGATCAGAACCAGAAATTCTTTTCATGAGGTCTGCCCCCTTGAGGCCCAGGGACGGCTGTCAGGATGCACTCCACAGTCAGTTTGTAGTTGCAAGGAAGGGTGCAGAATCATTCCTGCTCCGAGAGAAGAGAAGGACAGGTTGTGGTTAGAATACTGACCATAGCTACAATGCTTGCTTACTGCTTTAAAATGTCTTCAACACACAAAAGCAGGCTTAAATATCCATCAGTCTTGGGTCACGGCATGTGCGTATCACTTATGGTTCTCTCAGCCCTGCCTTTGCCTGGCTGTGAGACCTTGAGCTCCTAGCACCATTTCCCTGGCCATTTGTTTTCTGCTATAGAATGAGTCACTGGGGTGGGATGTCCTGCAGGAAGTTCTCTCCTGGGCCTTAGGTACCTGGCAGAAATGTGGACCAAGTGATAATATAAAGGAAGGAAAAGTGCTGAGGATACCTGTCCAGTTAGAACTTGAAACTGAGCATCCTTAATTCTTGCCTGATATTGGAAATGTCTGAGTAAAGAACCCAGGAATGTGGGGGAAACTCTGAATAGGTAGATAGAAAGTCCTTCACAAAAACAATTTTTGCAGCTAAACTACTAGTCCATGAAAAACCCAATTACCTATGTTATGATTTGGAAAATCTGGTTGTAATAAAAAGAAAAGAAGCAAATAATGTAAGAGTCTGTAATTCAGTGAAGCCAGAACTTGATATATTTGAAAAGGATTCTTTCATTTATGTGAAGCTGCTGTTTAAAACGAAATAACGTCCTAGAGGGAAATAAGTCAGGATGAAAGGGGAGATTTGAACAGCCTTTGGGAAGTGTGTCACATCATGGTTATGTTTCATGGCCTCTGGATGCACAACTCATTCTACATGTCTAGATGTCCGCAGTTAGTAATACTGTGTTGAATAGCTTGGATCTGGCCCCATCTTGCCTCAAAATTAGATGAAGTCAAAATATGGAAAGAAAGTTCTCTTGAGAGATAGTAAGATGTGGTTGAGATTTTAAAAAATGCAAAATTAAATATGAAAGAGTCTTAGAGGCCTGTGAGTCCAGTCCTCCTCTTTTATGAAGCAGTCTTGTAAGTTTTATGAAACTTGGAACTCCAGAATACAATGTATTTATTAAAAATAGTTAGATCTTCTTGATGAATTCTTCTTTTTTTGATATGTAGTGGCCTTCATGTCTTCTAATTTGGCTTGGATTCTACTTTACTAGGTATCAGAATAGCTATTCCAGTCTCTTTGGGCTTTCCATTCATTTGATAAGTTGACTTTTATCCATGAGATGTTTCTTAGAAGTAGCAGATAATTGGGGCCAGGGGTTATTTTTTTAAGAATTATTTTTCTTTTCCTTAATGAGAATGTGTATGTGCCCATGTAACTGTATGCTGTGTGTGTGCATGGGCCCAGAATGGCCAGAAGAGGATTCCAGTCCCCTGGAGCTAGAATTACAGGCACTTGTGGGATGTCTATGTGGGTATTGGAAACCAATTTGGGTCCTCTGGAAGAACAACTAGTGCACTTAACTACAGCATTCTCTCCCCAGCTCCAAGGGTCAGATTTGTTTTGTTTTGCTTTGCTTTTGTTTTTAAACCCAATCAGCCAGTCTGATTCTCTTTACTGGTGAGGGTTGAAACCCAACCATTTATGAGTAACATTATTACTGAGAAATGTTTAGTGATTCTTAACGGCTTTTCTGGTTTGTTATTATTTGTTCTTTTCTTTCTCCTGGTTAGACATGACAGATCCTTCCTTGTTCTCCTTTGCTCAACTTTTCATGGAATGCATTCGTTCCTGTACTCTTATGATTGACACTGCCTTTCTTGTCCCACTCAGTATCCTATTCCTTTAACTATCTTCTGCAGTACTGGGTTGTAATCTTGAGCCACTTGTCTTGAAATGCTTGCATTTCTCCATCAATCTTCAATATATCTTTGCTGGATGAAGCAACAATCTTGATTGGCAGTTGTTTACTTTTACGACTTGAGCCATACAGTTCCCTGCTGTCCTGGCTTTCATGGTTGCTGATGAGAGGTCTCATGTTAGTCTGATATGTTGTCTTTGTTAAGTAAGTTGGTGTCCCCCACCTGCCCT